AGTGTTTTTGTGGTAATAGAATGAACAGTATAAAGGGACTGTTTTCCAAACAAGAAGAGGATGAGCAGGGTATTCTTTCGGAGGTACGTCATGATCTATAATACCACTGGTAGGTCGAAAATGGCTGCGTGTCTCTTAGTTGGAACACTCGGTTAAAAGGATTTGCCTGTCTCTTCGGTATCGGTGTTATACTTTCATTTTTGGTACTGTCTTAATTTTCCTATAACCTGCTAGGGGAACCTTTTCCTTTGGATTCCTCATACGGGTCTTAAGTTATTCGCCCTTTTCTACACGTTGGGCAATCTGTGCTCTCTAACAAGGTGACCCAATCCTAATTGTTTACCACGCGTACAGCTCCTTCTTCCTAATGGGCCCTGTGCAGCAGTGCAAACGCATGTTTGCAGAAACACGCATCATTGCGGCTAGTTTGGTTATCGTAAGACCCAAGTTCATCTTACCCTCTGTTTACAATAGTTATTTATGGTTCTGACGATCGTCTCGGCTGTGGTGGTATGTCCACTGTTTAAAGCTGACTATTTTAGTGGGGAAAAGCGCTTTTGTGTCTGCTGTTCTCAATTTTTCAGTTCCTTGCGCTTACGTGGTACTCTCTTTCCTACATTCCCTTGGCTCGGTAAGCACATCATTCCTGCTCTTGCTACTTATCCCCTATTTACTTAAATATTTGCGAACACACATTTGGCACACTGGCAAGTCCCCGTAGGGTATCCCCTCCCTACAACGCTCAGTAAACTTCAAGTATACTGCCACAGTGGATGGGTTGATGTTGCCTTAGAACTTGCAGCTGCCGCAGCGACTGTCAGGACGGTACGATCTGGCTTTGTGAAACAAACCAACGCGTTAACCCCTTGAGCGGTATATTGTGTTCTACGTCTTGTCTTCTACACCCGGGGTCACGCGGTGGTCATCGCTAGTCAATTTCCTGCCGTTCTACAGGCGTGTGTGGAGTAACTGATGTTTGCGGACCATAAAAATCAGCAAATAGACAATCAACACCCATCCCCTTTCCAAGGACGGAATTGAATAGTTATTGAACGCCCACTCATAGGGGCGCTCGACGGGTCCTGCCTATAAAACGAGCGGGGCATAAAGTTTTCCTTGGTGGGCTTCTGACTGAATATGTTTTGTGTTCGTTGCCGATTACTTGTTCCGAAATTGCTTTTTGCCTTTTTATGTACTCTTCCTGCCTCCATTTCTGTTTTGCCTCCTATCTGATGATTTTTCGTGTCTACCCACTCCGCCCTTTTGTTTTGTTTCAGTGATGCGGTCAAACGCTGCTGTGCCTCCTTGTGTTAATGAAGGCCCTTTCAAGGGGACTTGCAAAGCTGGACGGTTGCTCACGGAAATCGCTAATCTTTTCTTCAATTTGCCCAATCATCGAGATATTTCATACTTCGCCTTTTTACTTTCACCTGTACGCGCTGTCAGTTCAGTCTTAAGTATTTTGATCGCAGTATTTCTACTTTATTCTTGCTTTCCTAATACGCGGTTTTTAAATCCATCCTTTGTTTCGAACAACCAGAGATTTCCTCCCGTATAAACGTGAATGTGAGGACTTCACACACCACCTTACGTGGTAAGGGTGGCATTCATTAGGACTGGTCATTGTCAGTAAACCGGCCAGGTATAATGTTCTGATTGGCAGAAGGACTAGGTTGCTGAAGACAAGTGCAAACCGACCGCCAGGACCGTCGCCTTGGTCCAAGCTCTTTGGCGACGGTCAGAGAGGGGGACATGCGGCGAACGCGGTATCTGCTTGTCATTTACTCTACTGTATGATAAGCTGACATCCTGAGCTTCATTACGTGAGGACGCTGGCTTTTCAATGCCTCCATGCAAGTCATTGTCATTTTCTATCGAGGTCTGACTGGAGCCACCCATTCTTCTCGAAATTTGAGGACGAATACCAGGAGTAGGGATGGGGAAGCCATGCCTTAAGCTCACCGTTTCTGTGCCGCTCCTAATGAGGGGGCATAGCCGACTGGGCTTGAGTGACGGGCCGTGGAGGACGGGACCCAGTCACATCGTCCTTCTGTCTCCGATGGTTCCGGGTGTCCTCCCGATGTTTTGAAGTGGGCATTGTCGCCTGAACAGTGGTGGCAGAGAAACGTCCGCGCTCTTGCGTAGCACAGGACATAGGACGCATATATGCGCACTGACCAGGGCCACAACGCCTCCATAAGCACACTCGGCAGCTTCCGAGGGCCAGCGGCTGCTTGGACACCGTGCATTACTGCGCCCCGCCTGGCTGGATTCCGCACATCCGAATGTCTGCATAAGCAACGTTGACAGCGGATTATCTCCACACTGGGCGATATTCTACTTGGTAGTTGTTACTACTAAACAAGAAGTTGCTATTTGCAGGATCGTTGGTCCCCAACGGGCCCCACCAGTGCGCGGACCATAACCGACCGGTAGTCTGAAAAAAATGTTTAGGTCGTAGCTCACCGGGCAGCAATCGCATGGAGCGGCTTGACAGTTATAATCTCTAGTGCCACCTGTATGTAGGGGTGGGCGCCTCCGGCGCAGCATTGTAGGATTACCAGGCCAAGCAGGACGATGGCTGGCCGTTTCCGTCGGTTTATCGGATGGGCGACCGACCATGCCGGGGTAGGGGGGGGGAGCGGGCTATCGTTGCGTGGTGCGCAAACCATCATTCATCTGGTCCGAGCGTCTGCCTATTTCGTAACTAGCCTCTGCTGGTGGCCGCTGCACTAACTCTCCTGTAGACGCGCCGACTAGTCTGGTGCCTGAAACCCCCATTCGGCTGGACATGAGTCGACCTCCTTTGGATCATGGGGTCTCGCACCGGGTACCATGCCAGCTGAACCTCTCTAACGTTCGTTGCGCAGAGCCCTAATGCTCCAGGCCCAGAGTTCCGCCACCTTCGGTAGTATGACCTGCAGTCGCTCATCACACCTAGTGGGCCTCCGCCCTTGCATAACAGGTGGGGAAAATGACAATGGTGGGGGTAGCACTAAGAGGAGGTAACAGCAACAATTTTTAGTGCTCCAGAATTGGAAACCAGATATGAGCGGAAAATTTACATGGCACGTACGCTGGGATGCTGAGATGACCCATCACTCTCAAGGAAGGCGAAAAATGAGACCCAGCCTTGGGGTTTTTAAAAAAAGCAAGTGCCGTCGACCGCTTACAATTTAATCACCAACTGGCTTAGTAACATCTCAAGATGATTATCCGTCTGACAAGTGACCCGCCAGAGGCGCATAGGATATCCGGTCCACTTTGCGTTATTTAGGGCTAGTACTTTATGCCAATTCTCCAAGTTGTGGGGTCCTGATATGCATGCACGGAGGATCTGGCAGGATTATGAGCAGCGATCAATGACTGCTAGGTTGGGTCATATTTGCATCTGCGACACCACGGCAGTAAAAGTAAGGCAAGCACACCTCTGATTATGTTAAATGTTGCGCAATGGAGCTGGTTAAATGCTTCCAGCAACCGATGAGAGAGGTCTCGTGGGCACCGAAGACAGTTCCCTTAACAGTGGGTTGGGGCGCTTGTCTGTGCACCTGACATGAATTGTAAGGTAGGTGTGCAGTGGCGCAAAAGACGTCCCGAAGATATTGACTTGTGTGCACTAGTGACCGCACAGCCCCATTTTGCACTCGGCCAAGTGGCCAGAAGTGCAAAGGAGCGTTTTCAATCTTCCTAAATGACGATAGGCCCAAGAAGGCCAAACGTCTCGTTTACTAAGGTCTATCTGTGCCGTTGAAGTACCAATGTCGGGAGGTAGGTCACCGCGTCCATCGTGAGAGTGGCTGCAGCTCCACCGTGGACTTCGGCAAGAGATTCGGATTTACGAGGCTACGGTGACGGCTACTGGAGGGTGATTTGGTCTGTGAAAAAAATCGGTGTTCCACAGATAGTAACGTTTGCAGAATGCTTTTCAGTTGATGAACCTAGTCCCAAACCAGAGATACCTGTTGGTTTTGCGATAAAAAGTCGCCCTCAGGCTCCTGCGCGTCGTTGCCCCCGACTCGCCTGCCGGTTCGCCCCATGTTTGCTGACTAAAAGACTGTATAGCCGCAGGATTGCTACCGCGCTCCATGATGTGCAGTGTTCGAGACTCAAACTTCACACAAACAGCCAAGCTGAAATCAGCAGTGGTACGAGCCGATGTGGCGGCGTAGGAAGTCTCGCCTGACAAATCCTTGACGGACCATATGGAAGGAGTCAGACTCGCGACATTGGAAGCGCCATGTGGCGGTATTTTTCAAATAGTATGTGTTGCCAGGCCCAGATACAGCGGGGACTTGCGGGTGGGTCCTCACCTTGGCCGTAGATTTCTAAAAGAAACGCTGAAGAACACTGTTCCTATTCAACTGCATTCTCCACAGCACCCAAGGATGAGTTCCACCTGTTGCATGGCTCTAGAGTGTAGAAGAGGCCTGTCTTATTTAGCATACTCGCGGAGGGGTCCTGATGATTCGGAAAGTCAGCGGCAAGACAAGATACAAAAATTTATTTGATAAATTTCAGAGGCAAAGGTTCCGTCGATGCCACTTTTCCCGCAACCTCACTCTCAACCTTGCTCTTGATCATTTTCTCGAGATTCTTCTTCATTGACGACAAGTTCGCGTTTTGAGCTTTCGATTTGGATTTGATTACCCGGGCACCCTTCTTGAGCTGGTGTTTGTTCTTCTTCTTTACTGAACCACCGCTTTGTTTGTGCTTTGCAAGCTGTGCACCAACAGTCTTCACCTTCATCTTACCCTGGGCCATCGTTGTTGAGATTGTACGCGAAAAAACCTAAAATTTCAAGGTAAATTCCTTTAATCAAAGAATGTTGATGCCGTCAGGCGATGGAGTACTCCTCAGCTAAAAAATGAGAAAAACCCTACAGTATCCAGCACTATTATGTGACCAGAAGTGCCCTCTTATGACGAGGAGGACACCATACGTCGGAAATGCTAAGTCATTTGACTTGACGCAGATTCAAACCCGCTCTGCACAATAGAGTGCGCAACCAACCATGAAAAACAGACAAGTCATGTACGACATTTGGATCTCGTTAAGCCCTGTTCTCATCCCTACTACTAGGAATGAACTAACAGTACTTGCAAATATACCTAAGAAGAGGTCCGCTACCGAGTGAAATCAGAGGACAGGGAGAATATAAGACACATGGCTGATGAAGCGTGAACGACAGTAACAGAACAAGGGCGACGTTGTGTGTTAAAAATGAGTACTAGTGGTAATTGAGTACCAGTCCGGACAAAAGCATCAGCGGAGAAACAAAACGAAAAAATATGCAGAGTATTTTGCAATAAGATGACATAGTTTTTGGGCTTCTTAAACTGAGGAAGCGCAGCAGGGGTGCCCCAAAGTAATATATCTTCTTTCCAAAAACGTTGCCCTAAGCGCTGGTAAGGTTTCCACAGATGGGCCTTGGGAAAAAGGTTTACGGAGGCAATTAGTGCCAAGATGAGTGAACTGCATTAGGGCCAACGTTTTCGCATTAGTAATAACGATGTATATTTCCGTCCTTGTCAAAGAATCACTTCCTTGTCTTTGTAAAATATGCCAAGCCGAGTTTTGAGTTGGCCTTCTCTTCGACGTCTGCGAGTGGGCAGCAACACAAATCCCACGAAGTGGGTAACGAAGAGGGTGCCAAAACCACCTCATTTGCCTTTTTTGGATGTCCTGAGATGTCTTTGCGATGTCGTAGCGAGTGCCGACTGTGTCATTTCAGACGAAGTCGGTGTACGTCGCTTGAAGGACAGTCCTCAGGTAGCGAAAGTCAAACACCTCCAGGCTTTGCTCACCTCACACGCGCACAACCAAGTATTCATAAGCATAATAATAGGACTGACCGGACAGATGCCCAGTACACGTGTATCTTTGCAACACTGGCTATGTCGCGCCGGGGCCATTGACACTTCCCCAAGGATTGTCAAGACCCCGCGAGCAGTACCGATTCGAGAGATTGTATCGTCCTACTCAATCCATTCGGCAGTAGCCCGGCTCCGGGGTATTTGAAATTACCTAGTTCTTCAATCTGACAGTCATTAATCCCGGGAAGACGGGTTGCCCGTTAGCCTAGCTGCTGGCTGCCTGGCGTGTCCACAGGTGGCGGATAATGGGACGACCTTCAGTGACGGTTAGATGCGAAATAAGCAGATCCAGGTCTGATGAATAAGCAGTCGCGGACCAGCAGCGACATTGCTACCAGGGTGCGGTGGGCTGAGGTCTGGCACGCTGAAAGCCTTGTAAAAAGCCGCAAAACCCAATAACGGCATTGTGACATGGCGACCGTAAACCGCCATTAAATAAGTTTGCTTGCCACCGCTGCCTTGTGGTTAGGCTTATAAGCTAAAGCGCTAGAGGAGACAACTTCGAACAGACAATCTGAGCGGTTGTTGAGGACCCGCCCGTGTTCGAACTTCCCAAGAAACCTCATGAAATATGTCTGACCACAGTATTACGACCCATGCTACGGCGTCCACAATGCTGGTCCAGTGGTGCGGGCGAATAGTATGCGAGCTGGACTAATCAATCGGGGACGATCTCTCGGTATTCAATGCTGGAATGTGCGAACGTTCCTGGACCCCGGTACCCAAAGTCTGACCACACGCAGCCTTCATCAGCACGACGTAGATGTCTGCTGTCTGTTTGAAGTTCGAATCCCTGACTCAGGCTCCCGTGAAATAAAGATCCCTGGAGTCGAATCACACTTTACTCAGTGCCACGGCGGCCCGCGCCGGTCGACACGGTTTGGCGACCGCCCTATCACAACAAGCGGACCTCACGCTACTTGCTTGGGAACCAGTCAATGACCGGATGGCCTACGTGCGACTGAACGGTCACTTTACGAACATTCAAACGTCCCTGTGGACGCGCCAACTTCGGCTGCCGAACAGCGCGATAAAGATGCGTTTTACTCGCAGTTGCAAGCGTTAGTTGAAAGACTGCCTCGCCGCGATCTGCTGATTGTTGCTGGCGATTGGAATGGTCGAACTGAGCCTGGCGACCGCACAACCAGTCATCTTCTTGGCCGCTTTGGGCTTCGTTCTCGATGTGAAAATGGTGAGAGATTGCTGAACTTCGTTGATCGAAACCGACTGCTTGTCACCAACACATGTTTCCAGCATCGCAAAAAACATGTGCTGGCCTGGTATTCAAACGACGGACATACGGCCAATCAGATTGACTACATACTAGTCAGTTCAAGGTTCCGCAGCTGGATTCACGATAGCAGATCGATGCGTGGTGCCGAGACTGGTAACGCCCATGGGTCGGACCATCTCCTCGTCCGTACATGCTTGAAAGTTCATCTCTCATCCGCGCCAAAAATGCCACGTCCTATACGCCTCGATGTCGCAAAAATTCGGCAAACCAGCACTGCCGAGGCCCTAACCAGAGAAATCCGGACCTGTTTTACGACCCGAGCCGACGGAGAAGTCAGTAACCAGTGGTTGTCACTGAAGACGTCAGTCTATGGGGCAGCTGAGAAAATCCTTGGATACACCCAGCGACGCCGCAGTGACTGGATCAGCGGAAGAACCCTGCAGTTGTCTGCTCAGACGGCTCGAGCCAGGTCGGATAACGATGGCTGCTTTCGCCAACTTCGGAAGATGACGGCAAAATCGGCCAGGGATGACCGGAAGCAATATTGGCTGAAATAGCGACCTCCGTGGAACAGGCTTCGAACGTTGGCGACACTCGAAAGCTCTAACAACTGATCCGCCAAGTTAGCGGCAAGTCCTCTACACTGAGTGACTCTGTTCGTGACGTGAACGACGGCTTTATTGCTGATAACTCGGCCAAAGTCGAGCGCTGGCTTGAGCACTTTGAGCACCATGCCAACTTCGATACCCAACCTACCTCGTCCTTGCTCTTCTCTTAAGCGGAGTTTCTTCCTCTCCTACCTATGCAGTGCCATGCGACCCCGTCCCCCCCTCTTGTGTCTTGTGTTGACACTCTGGCGCCCTAACTCCATGAGGTGATTGAACGAGCGTGGAGAGACGAGGTTCGTCCTGATGACTGGGGCTTAGGCATCCTTGTACTTATCCTCAAGAAGGGAGATAAGACGAGATGCGAGAACTACCGCGGCATACGTTTCATCGACGTTGCTGTGAATATCTTCGCTATTGTCCTACTCAGGCGATTCCAGGCTGTGCGTGACTCAAGGCCGAGGCTTACCAAGCAGGATTTCGTGCTAGACGTGGATGTGCTGGCCAGATATTCACACTGATGCGCATTCTCGAATTTTGCCATAGCTACCAACAACCGACGGCCGTCTGCTTCATTGACTTTGCCGCCGCGTTCGATTCCGTTCATCGTGAGTCCCTGTGGCGGATAATGGCGCTAGATGGTGTACCGGCAAAAATCATCGCCATGATCAAGGCCTATTGTCGTTCCACTACTGCGAGAGTCCTGGTCCACAACAATCTTTCCCAACCGTTCGGTATTCGGTCTGGAGTCCGACAGGGTTGTATCCTGTCACCCATTTTGTTCAACTGTGTTAGTGACTGGATCCTAGAGAGGGCCCTACAAGAGGGTGACGGCGTTGAATTTGCACCCGGACACCGACTGACTAATCTCGACTATGCCGATGATATCGCCTTGCTTCAAATTTTGGTGATCTGCAGTCTATGGTGTCAGGGGTGAACGAGGTCGCCAAATCGGTCGGTTTATCCATAAACGCTGGGAAGATCAAAGTGTTTTCAAGCTGCATCCCTGACCAGGATAAGGCACCTCTCGGGATTGATGGCTGTCAACTTGAAGAAGTAGACAGTTTTAAATACCTCGGGGCGAGGCTGCTGCCTAATGGACAGAGTAAGGACGACATTGTCTCCCGAATCGATGCTGCTCGCTGGGTTTTCTCGAGCCTTCGGAAATGCCTATGGATCCGGCGTGACCTCTCCATCGCCAGTAAGATTCGCGTGTACCGTGCATCTGTCCGGTCTGTCCTTCTCTACGGTTGTGAATGCTGGGCTTTGCGCATGGAGGACAAGCGGAAACTGGAGGTATTTGACCACCACTCTCTGAGGACCATCCTTCGAGTGAAGTTCACCGACTTCGTCTCAAATGAGACAGTCCGCGCTCGCTGCGACAACATCGCAAGGATAACTCAGGCCATCCAAGAAAGACTACTGTGGTTCGGGCATGTTCTTCGTCGTCCACCTGAGGAGCTCAGTGTTACTGCCCTCGATCCGTCACTGCTGACCCATTGGAGACGTCGAAGAGGGGGTCAGTTCAAAACCTGGCTCTATACAGTTCGTCACGACATGGAGGTGGTTCTTGGACCTTCGGTATTCGGTCTTCATCGTTGGCGAAGGGAAAGGGTTGAGCTGTCCAGATCTGTTGCCGCGGACTGTCACGCGTGGAGAGGTATAGTTCGTGACATCATTGAGACCGGCTAGATCAGGCAGGGACTCATGATAGACGGGGATGAATGCTGCGCGACGTCTGTCAGATGCTGGTAATCATGGCGGAATTCGATGGCGCTAATTGCGTTGGAGGACACCATTGGTCTAAATTAAATTCCAACCGGCGGGTCGTCCTATGTGTTATGCCTTTTTTGACGTCGCGATCAGGTTGGGATCCATATATGTGGGGAATTTTACACAGGAGCACTACCAATTCGCGCAATGGCCTAGTGGTCCTCTACTCAGGATAAGGTTAAGCACATGCTACACCAAACGACAATCAAGTGAGAATGCAGGCAAGAGGTGAATGAACAAGAGCGACTTAATGGGGCTTAATGGGAGCTACTATAGGACGCATGGAAAGCGAAGTGCGATAAGGAATGCTCGTAACGCGAAAATACAGTCAACCATACCGAGTTGGCTTCTGTCTAAGTACAACTATATCTCACACTTTGTAGTAGGACCTGAATAAGTACTGCTGACAGATACACGCACATCGAAAACCAGCTCATGTGTACTAGGCATATTTTCAGAGGAACCATTCATCACAATAAAACATTCTTCTTGCTTATGGACGTTTGCGGTTCTTTAACATACTTAACTTCATAACGAGTAGACATGCATAAGGCCAAATATCGCTGCGACAAGTCACAGTACGTATTAGGAAATTTTCTGGATTGTCAAACTGACCTAACATTGTTTCAGTGAAACAGACAGAGTAGACGGTACAGGTGTAACCATACGGATTGTGGATTTGTTTCTTTTCAACACCATGACGTCATGCAGCCACCGCTGGATACGCATTCATGACACGGATGCAGACTGGTTTAGATAAAGAGCGCTTATTGCTTTTGATGGCCTACGTTTTCGTACAACATACCCTTCAATCAGTCTCAAGAAATGGACACAGAAGTCAACCAACGCTTCCATCACCGCCTCCCATGCAAACAGAAAGTTTGCGTCATTTCTGCACCGTTTAGAATGCTCGATAATTTCCCATCGCCTATGTCATGGACATGAGGGCCACAGCAAGCGGGTCGGACGGACAGTCTTTGACAAGTGTATCTCAGAGGTAATCTCCAAATAAATCCTGTTGAATCTGGGGCTGCAGACCCTCATCATGCCTCACACACCGGCCACCGTCAGCCAACCAGAAAAAAGGCAAAAAACATTACCTCATCCTAGGAGGTAAGCTCTCCGGACACGAACTACTCAGCTTTCACCCAGGGCTAATTTGTATTTCGAACACCGAGAAAGGAAACACCAAGAATATCTTTAAAAATGAGTTCGACGATGTAGTTGGAAAGACAAGCCACCGAAGGGACGTGACCACGTCTATACTAACATAAGCTATTCGGCGCGAATACGTCCGGGCTGAGGCCCAAACTAAGATAGCTTCCCGTTCAATAAATAAATCAAAGATACATTTAAAGAAACCCTGTTCCAATTGCGGGGAAACACATTAATGAGATTATCGACTAGTATACAAATACAAGCAACTGACGAAAACACTGCTGTGAAAACTAGGAGCATTATCCGATGCGCTGCACTTACGCAACAACAGAAGAGACCAATCTGGGGCGCGTGATTAAAAAACATTATGCGGACGTGTTCGGAGTGCTGAAGAGTGATTGGTCAACCATTTTTACGCGAGCCGCCGCGGCTCCAGGGAATTCTTAGTTTAAATTTTGCGGAATTATGTTCGAGTGATACTTCCAGCCACTGAAACCAAGCGGATTTAACTTTACAAGGTATATTCGACAATATGAGAAACAAGCAAAGTTTTTTTGCAAAAAATATCTGACAAATGGGAACAATGCCAATCGCACGATGGGACAAGACGTTCCCAAATTTTGATTTCGAACTTAACCATTTACAGAGCATAGCCCGCGTTTTAATCGTCACGCATAGCATTTAAAATTAATAGTCATTATTTCAATATCCAGGTTAACGGATGATTCGTTCACGAGTAAATTCATCACGCCTACATTGGAACTCCTCGGTATGAACGCCAGTCGACCAGCCTTCTTCATCAGTAATTATTATGATGTTTGGGAAAACGAAGTGGTGCGGCAATGGACTTACGCTAGATAAGTTCCGGTTAGAAAAACTTTTAAATAAAGTCATTTACTCAGGTATATTGCATAAACCGCAATCCCACCCCAAACCGGCAAACTCTGTCAGCCTTGAGGAGCATTTCTGGCAATGGACGCACTCAACAATTGCACCCGGGCAACTGTCTTGCTAAATTTGAAAAAGATGCGTCACCTTCGTTTATCAGTGAAGAACCCAGTCGCAAATTAAACTGAAGTTCCGCACACTGAAATAATGTAACGCCCCACGACCTCGACAGGGTTGTTTGAATGAAGAAATATTTTTGGCGGGCGGACCTAGGATGGAGATGGTGTGCCCACGTGCTCGTGAAGATCGTCGGAGTCCTTCCCTCTCACTTCCACCGACGCCATTTCCCGCAGCGTATCGTGATGCTCATAGCGTTCTCCATCTCTCTTCGTCGGCACATCCCTCGGCCTTCCCTGCAGTTGCCCACAGCGCTGCATTCTCCACCGGTTAATTAGTCGACATGCCGATATCGCCTCTCCATCCAGACAGGTTATTCCACAGTTGTTACCCGTTCTGCTTGTGTTATTAACTATTATTATGCAGCTTTCCAATTACCGTCTCTGTCCATTATACCTTATCGCCTACTTGACGTTCCTTCTCCCTTTATGTGCAGTTGAGTATCGTGACTTACTAACAGCTGTATTCAGGTCAACGTTAGCCAGTATCTCTTTCCAGTGCTCCGCTACTTTGGTGTGTGCTACCCTTGACGTCCTCGGTCGCCACGATGACAAATCGTGTGGTTTTGACGTGCAAATTACCGAATTTAGCTTTCCCTGTGTTCTTCTCAGTTAAGTTTCCCCACGGGGTTGAAGATGAACACAGTAATTTTAAAAGTGTATTATTTTGCCGCAAAGTTTTAAAATAGCAAGAATAATTTAAGAGTCTAAGCGTCACTTATTTAGAAACGTAGGTACAACAGAATTATTCTGTGCTCCAATTGGGACTATTTCGACTTGGTTGCTGCTTTACAGTTACCGTCGTTGACACTGAGAGTGAATCCGTTCGTACGGAATAACTTTGTTCATTTTTGGGATATTTTTCACGCGTCGAAATTCGTCAGGAAGCTGAGTCAAGTGCACTTTGTTTATCAGCACGGTTCAACTGAATATGCAACCAACTCGCGGTTATTTATAGCCTAGGAAAACAATCACCCAAAATCCTTCAAGTCCTACGAGATCTGCAGACGACTAAGTCGTTTCCGAGTTAACTGCGCACAATTTATCCGATTTTATGTACTTTTTGCCCACGGAGTTTTAAATACTCGCTTTTCATTGTCATATACAATATGTTGTGTTCGCTATAACCTCGAAAGCAGAATTATACCTATTCTCTCATCCGGAAGTTTATGGAGTCGCAGCAATCTGTCTGCAATAGTAGGGCCAGCACCGTCATCTCGTTAGAACGTAAGTCTGGTGAGATATCCTTCCCATCCAGAATCTGCGCCCGCCCTATCTGCTCTCCCAGCCAACGACCAACAAAGTGTGTCAAAAGCCTGATTACCGCGAAAAGTGTGCCGTACGAGGACGAGCCTTGCGGTGAGT